CAGGAGTCACCGAGTCACCTTGTGTTGTGCTGGTCTGCGCGCCAGTTGCTGCACAATCTTGTAGTCATAGCGACCAGGCATACCCATGAGCAAGTAAGTATTGAGTATTGTGGCATCAACTGCATCCGTGCTTTCAAGCAATGCTCATGGTGTCTGTCATTAAGCAGTCCTGATTCATGCGTCAGAGCAACCCTTCCTAAGGCTGGTTCATTATGTCCGAAGCAACTCCCGCCATTCTGGAATTTCTCAAAACAATTGCCTGTATAGCCTTCAGTGCGACACCCCATGATTCTCTGTTTTCTTTGCTGAGGATGTCGAGGTTCCCTAGGGCTATCCACATTTTAGGAATCCTCGACTTGCATACAGGTGGTCGTTGGAAATTCTTGGGAATTTTCTTGGGAATCCTTGGACGCAGTCTACCTACACCCAGGCACAAGCCTTTTTTGGAATAAGGGTCCGGAAGTATTTGGGGAATTTGTTTGTTTTATTTGGGAATTGTTTTTATCCCTTTTGGAAAGCGAATGTGGGGAAGCTCCACGCCAGAGCTCGATTTTAACTAAAAATGTGAGGTTGGATTTTGAAAAGTGCCAAGAGTCACAGGGATTGTGGGGGGTCGGGGTCGCGATCCTCGTAACTGTCGTCGCTTTTGGGCCCTCGGATCCTCTTAGAGTTTGACAAGTGCCAACAATCACCGCAATTGAGGGGGTCGCAATCCTCATAACTATCGTAGTTTTTGGACCCTCGGATCCTCTTGGAGTTTGGAAAGTGTCAACAATCACAGGACTTGCGGGGATCGCACTTGCGATCCTCCCAACTGTCGTTGCTTCTGGACCTTCGGATCCTCTCGGAGTTTGAAAGTATCGAAAGTCACATGGATTGTGGGGGTCGGGTTCGCCATCCTCGTAACTGTCGGCGCTTTTGCACCCTCTGATCCTCTTGCATTGTTTCAGTACGGGTACTACAATCTACAGCATCTTGTCTCGCACAGAGGCTGCCGATTTTGAATGACAGCATTGGGAGTTCATCTAGAACTTGCAACTCTGTAACTATAGCATTGAGCTTTCTTAGAGCTTGCAAATACTGTAAATGACAACATTTGGAATTCTTTAGAGCTTGCAGATACTGTAAATCACAGCACGCCAGCTCTGATTTTTTTGGGTTTGCCGATGTCTGCTGTAAATTACAACATTCGGAGCTTTGCAAAGGATGTAAACGCTGCCAGTTGCAGCATTTTGAGGGATTTTCATTTGCGCGCTTGGATGGCGCAGCGTCCCCTGTGCACTCAACATGATCCGTATAATCCTCCCTTACCCTCTCTACGGCACACATGGCGATGACATGTTCTTTTAATATATATCATACGCAATTATTGCTTCAACCAGACGGGGGGTTGGAGGGGCGCAAGCGCCCCATTAACATGGTGATGACGCGACCTTTTGTATCGTAAGCACGGATTGCTTCAACAAAGCAGGGGGGTTGGGGGGGCGCAGCCCCCACCCCCAGTTGCAAACAACATGATCTGCACAACCATCCCTCACAGCAAACATTGTAATGACATGATGCTTGTGTTTTATTGCAAGCATGTATGGCCTTAAAACAAAGGGGGGGGTGGGGAGGCGCAGCGCCCCCATTTGGACACAAAAATGATCCGCACAACGCTCCCCTAATGCAATGCAAGCATGGGGAAAGATGTGTTTTTTCCGTGAGCATGGACCATGGATGGCTTCGCCCTTTATGTAGTCAAAAGGGGGGCCGCGATCGCCATTGTTGCCCTTCTGAACTCAGAAGCAGTTCATAAAATGGGTGGGATACCATAGGTATTTTTCCTTTGTGAGATGGGGGGAGGACGTCAACCTATAATAGAGGCTTAGATAGCTCCTTAATGACTTGAATGCTCGTTAAAAAGAGAAGTACAAAGATGAACCAACTATATGAAGGGCTGAAAGAAAGATGTTAAAAGCATTGGAGGAAAGCGCTCTGGACATCTCTAAACTGGCTCCTATGGTCTCAAATGAGCAACTGCATGCAGTTGCCCTAGCCTGCTCACATAGCTACTACCACTTTGCAAAAGATGGCCTCCGAAAACGCAGCCACGGGGACGCGGTGCCGTGCGAGGGAAGTGTAGAGTAAAACACCCGCGAAGGCATGGTAGAACACAAATCTATAGCATATATATATATATAAATTGTATCTATACTGTTTATGGGCATGCTTTCCTGCGTTCTTCTTCCAGCCCTTCATATCTTTGGTTTATCTTTGTGCCGCCTTGTGTGTAAAGAGCTATCAACCCATAGGTATACAGGGTACATGCGTATACAGGGTACCACGTCCCCGCTCCTTTGGGGCACCCCCCCTATTAGAAAAACATATTTTTTCTATGAGGGAGGAGTATCATCGGTATTTTTTGTCAATGAAGTGGGGGATGGGAAACGCCAACTCATGGCATGGAATCCTGCTTTAGGGGCGGTACCCAGCCAAAAGCGAGTCCTATGAAGGACAATCTAGGGACTTTAGGAGGGANNNNCCTTATATAGTCATTATATAACCCCTATATCCCTAGGTACTCCCCATATAAACCCAAGGTCTTACTGAGATCGCGGCTCAGCCGCTCTAAGGCGGCTGTTCTGTCCACCGGCCTGTCTACTGATCTTCGGGTTGATATGGGGGTTTCCTCCCAAAATTAGGGCTATATTGGGGCTATATTGGGTTATATAGGTGTTTAGGTTCTAGGGTTTGAGGGTTTCCCAAAATTAGGGGTACCTACTATAATGGAGAATCAAATGGAAAAGAAAATGGAAAATGAAATGGAAACTGGGTTTACGTAGGGGATTATAGGGATTAGGGTTTCCCAAAATTAGGGGTACCATTTTGGGGGGTGTCCATAATAAGGACTATAGTATTTTGGGGTCTATATTGGGGTCCCCCTCTTTTGGGAAAATTACCATATGGGCCCGCCTTGAAGGAACCCCCCAAAACCGCAGCATCCTGCTGGGGATAATTGGGCCCCATATAAAGGCTGTTAGGGTCGCATGAAGACGCATTACACCCTAAACCCTATGCGGATTCTTGGCTGGGTTTCATTATGCCTGCAGGTGCGCGAAGAGGGGCTTTGGTCAGGTTGTCAAAATGATGGTCATTTTTGGGGTACGCTAGGTACTAAGGCCGTATGAGATTAGGGCTACTGACAAAGGGGCCATAATTTTGACAAAGTACCCCATAAGTTGGATGGTATCAACTTTGCTTCGTAAGTAGGTCGGATGGATCCCTAAACCCTCAACCCGTTTTTGGTAGGGGACCCCAATATAGATCCTAAGACACTACAATCCTTACTATGGGCACCCCCAAGGTGGTATGCCTAATTTTGGGAAAGCCCCTCAATGAGGTGGGGTCGTAGTACCAGCTAGGATTTACAGGCTTAGGGTGAAATCTTGGGCTTGATGGAAACGGCCTAGGAGATCACGCCACTTACAACCACGTTATATCCCATGTGCCCTTGGAGTTCATGACTGGTTGCGCTAGTTTCTCCCAACATGTGTTTTCTGAGGTCTACGCCTACTCCCCGCCCTCAAACAATCCACTGAGAAGGTCCGAACAACCCCAAACCAGCCTCAGTTTTATGGCTCCGCGGGGTGGGTGCTAGTTTTGGGGGCTCTGATTTGCTGCAGCAATAATACGTCGCACGTTATGTGCTCTTTCCGAGGAGAGCGCGCATCAGCTTCGGCCACCACCTCCTTGGTGACCTCATGCGAGCAACAGTTAGCAGCGGTGACGCCAGTTAAGCTTGTTTTCTTTTGCAGCAATCGCCACCAAAAGGGACTCTTAGCAAAGGGCAACAGCAACACGCAAAAGCGTGGCCGGCCGGGGAAATGGTGCACATCACGAGGCTGAGGTCGCAAGATGCAAAAACAAAACTCCTTAACCTGCTGCGCATTGTTTCTAGAACCCTGCGGGTTACGTTGAGAACCAAAATCCTAGAATAGCAGGAAGGGAAAACTTTTGACTCGCCATGGCTGCAGCAGGACAAGTCGTTGTGGATTTTGCCAGTGATTGTCGATGCTGCGAATAGCCGCAGAGAACAAAAAAGGGCGGTGGTGTTGAAGCTGCTGGTGCCCGTGCTGGTTGCGGTGGCTGTGGCAGAATGGAGGATGGCCGCTCAGTGCTAGTACCGGTACCAGTGGCAGCAGCGGCAGTGGCAGCGCTAAACACATAGCACCAAAGCCCCTAAGAAAGTGGTCGCGCATCAAGATAGTTTGACAGCTTAACAATGATACTGTACCAACTACCTGTCGGAACGCTATGCAAAACATTGCACTCTCCTAACGTCCTAACATCCCTGTACAGGGGGGAAGGAGTGCCTCGCGACTCTTCACCGCATCACGGAGAACCCTCGCTGCAGCGCCTAGCCAACTCATCTGTAAACGTGGCCTTACATTTCTTCTGCCCTTCGTACAGCAACCCACCAGCACCAAAGCCAGCACAATCAGGACTAGGACCAGGACCACCCAACTACCATCGTGACAAATAACCACACTGCTGTAAATCACATGTCAGTTTCGGTCAAGTTTGGGAGCACATCCTATGCAAGTTTGGCTGCAATACACTGCTGAATCGAATCCTGTGTAACTGTAGTTGCTATCTTGCTCGTGCGCAGCAACCGGCCTAGAGCGCTTGCGGGTGGAGTGGTAGCGGTTGCTGCGGCTCGGTAGCCTGTCGCTTGACAAAGCATGATGCACGGCCAGTTAAGTACTCAGCATGTGTCTCGAAAAGTTTTTTTCAGCTTGGTTCAGTCACGTCGGCACCATGAACGAGCTATGGGGCGCATGTCCAGCTGTGACCTCGTTGGACTTCGGACATCCGGCCAGCGCGCCGACGACGGGGAAGCTTGGCGAAGAGGAGTGGCATGCCAGATCTTGTCGTCGGCGCGAGCTCGCCGCCGTACACGGTTCGTCTGCTCCCTTGGGCATCCCGGCCAGCCAATATGCAGTTGAAGCATGCGCGCGTCAAGTACAATCTCTGCGGGTACCACGAATCAGGCCAGCAAACCAGCGCTCGAAAAGTCTGCGATGGCCGAGTTTGCGAACTTTCCTTGTGCTGAAAAATAGTGGACATAATTGCGGTGGAAAGAAACCACTGCTCGCAAGCCATGCGTGCATGTCAATCATCAGCAACCTGGCCATCTTCCCTTGCCATAGTGGACTATTGCGGTACTCAGACAACGAAACAGTGCAGAGTAAGCGTCAAGTCTGTGAAAAGTTGCTCAGCAAGATGTACTTGCTGCTGAGCTGAAGCCTCCTCCACATACCTTGCAAACTTGACAGCTACCTGAGATTTATTACCAAAGCATTCACGGTTCAAGAGGCGCGCCTTGAACCAGGAATAATCACTGACGATCCATTGCTTAGGGCGAGATGCTTGTTGACTACATCCCTGGCATTTTTGTGTCCCAACGTAGCCAAAATGGGCAAATAGCATAACAAAAAGCCAGCGGGATCCAGCTCGGCCAACCAGTCTACAAGGCACGTCGGCGGAATCATTGAGGGGACGTCCATCGTGTTGATTCCACGTGAACCTGCAGCATGCTCGCTACATCGCTTCACAATCTTTCGGGCTGTTCAAGCCAAGTTGCTGATGTCTCTGAATGCTCCTCGACTCTCAGCACCACCGCTTTCCCTCCACTCCTGTGGAACAAATGTGGAGTGATGGCTGCGGTCTGCGCTGGCTCGGGTGCGGTTGGCCCGAACGGCTTTGCCGGGCCTGCAAAAAAGATACCAAGCAAAGCACACAAAGGCTGAATTTGCAATTGCCCAGAACAGCGCCTCACCGAAATAGTCCAGCCATCCAGATCTGAAAGATGCCTCCCAAAACTTCAACTCCACGATTCCGCCCTGCCCCCCCCCTCCCCCAAAGCTTTCGAACTTTTGACTTTCCACAAGTTTTGCCTCCTGTGTTCTCTATACTTATTGTTGCACGCTCACTCAATGTCGTTTTCTTTAACTTGGCCCTCGCTCACGAATTCTCTCGTGAGACACTGAATCATGATCAGTTGCTAATGTCTCGAGCCAGGTATTTTATAGCGTTTCAACGATGTTCATTGTCATCCAGGGCAGCGCATGCATGGTTCAAAACCTGGGTCCTGCAGGGACTCGAAAGCGCCCTTCAAATCAAGCAGCCACAACCTTGGGCTGAAGACCGTTGATACAAGAGCAACCGCCCAAGACCACCCAAGATCATAAGCACTCTTGCTTTTCCGGAACCCCCCGCAGGCCAACCCCCTGGAGCGACTGCGCATGACTGCGCGCCTTCAATGAAGTGGAGCAAGCGAAAGATTGGGAACCTTTATGGAAAAACCCGTAAATGCTAAAGAAACCTGTCATATCACCCCTCCCTTAGGGTCTTCTACCTGGGTGAGG